TAATTTCCAGAGTCTCTTAGGGGATGGAAATGTTTGTGAGAGCTCAGTCATACTTTGCAATTATAGAAAATTGTTAGTTGCATTGAGATCAGTCAACTATACAAATAGGCCAATTTGGTTTAAAAAATGCTGTCCTGGGATATCTGTGAGTCAAGTCATTTAGGTGTCATTCACAGAACAGACAACTCTACATTATCACCACGGGGAAAGTGAGTGAATCATTTACAGTTGTGTTGAATATGCCTATTTAAAAGCAATTTACAGCCAGGATTTTTAATTTCAACGACAACACTCACCTGTAAGAAAAGAATACATTTTATAAGTGGTTGGGACATTTTCTCCCCAGCTCCAATAAAACTATAAAAGTTCATAAAGAATCTTAGGTTTTAATTCAAGGAATGAAATGAGGAAATTAATCCCATGGTTCCTGAATTTTGCACCTTGGGGTTTTTGTGACTTTCTGTGATTGGCTTGTTAAAGGTGATGTGAACACATAATTCTATTTGTCCTGCTAGGTTTCCATGTCACTGTGAGACATTATTCGGGCAGGACAGGCAAAATTATAAATGCCTGAGCTCAAAGCAAAACCAAAACAATTTAAAATTTGTATAAAATTTACTCTTGATAATGCAAAAAATTCATAGTTTTGGTTTCCAAAATAAGTTAATTCGAATCTCTTGTGTGCGTAAAATGTAGTTTTGGAAAAAAAAAAAAGCTGGATCTACTCAATTTATGTTGAATATACAAACCTGTGGCTTAGTTATGGTTGCCTTGGGAACTATAACTTAATCTTGATTTTTTTTTTATGTCTAATTTTGTCTAATTTGTTGCCCATAGGTTGTTTTATTTTGTCTCCTTTTTCTTGAGAACTTCTTGTGATGAGGCAGGAGAATAATCCAGAGGCGGGTGTGCTTCCTTGGGGAGCTGGCTGGGCAGCGTTACCGGGGCTGGCATTTTCTGCCATAATATGGTGAAACAAGAGAAGAGCTTGTAGGAAACATCAGGATCCTTTGGTTCTGCTGGAAAAGAACAAAAAGAGATCACATCTGCTTTTCTGTAGAATAGGGCTCGTGAACCTGCCTGAACTTTTCTGAAATATTGAAACAAAGAAAAAGGAAGATATTAAAGGACATTTAAAATGTCCTTTTAAAAAGTTTGGGCCTTCCTCTCTTGTTTATTGGAAAGAGGAAGGTAATTAGGAAGAAAGCAATAAGGGAAAGACACCACATTCCTTGTGTTCATTACCGCCGTCTGCGCTGTCAGGGTCCCAGGCAAGCACGCCTTCCAGTCTGCAGCGCTTAAGTACAAAATGCTGCGTCGTCCACCATATTCTTTGCGTCCAATAGCTGGCACATCAATAACTATTTTTCTTAACACTTTAAAGTGGAAAATTTCAGAGAGAGAGAAATTAGAAAGAACCTTATTTGAATACCAGCATGCCCACCACCTGGATGCAATCATTAGCACTTATTTTGCTTCAGCATCTATCTATCCATCCATTAATCCCTCTACTTATGAATTTCCAAGTTGCAAATATCTTTTCATTTCCCTTTAAATATTTCAGCATTTCCCCCTGTCCGTGTGACTCAGTTTGTTGGATGTTGGCCTCAGAACCGAAAAGTTTCCAGTTTGATTCCTGGTCAAGGCATGTGCCTGGGTTGCCCGTTCGGTCCCCTGGAGCACATACGGAAGGCCGATGTTTCTCTCTCACATCAATGTTTCTTGCCCTCTCCTTTTCCCTCCCTTCCTGCCTTTTTAAAATCAAAAGTAAAGTATTAAAAAAATAAATACTTCAGCACTCATATAATTAACTCAAGTTGAATATTATAATTTTTCTCTTTTGAACATGTAGTGAAATAACACCAATTTTAAGTGTATTATTTAATAAATTTTGCCAAGCACATGTGTACCCCTGTGTAACCCAAAACCTTATCAAGATACAGAACATTACCCCTAGAACATTACCCACTAGAAGGTCTAAAGCCATTCCCAGCTGTTTCCACCCTCCTATCTCCCCAAGCAGTTTTAATTTTTATTTACTGTAAATTAGTTTTGCCTGTTCTAGAACTCCAAATACATGGATTTTTACAGTACATAGTTATTGTGTTTAGCTTCTGTTACTCAGCATATTTTTTGAGATCATCCATATTGCTTAATGTAATGTAGTTCTCAATAAATAATGATTTGCTGATTTTTATCTGTGTTGATTAACTGGGGCTTTAAGTTGACTGAATGTATTTACATACAACTCTAAGAGTTTGTATGTCTCTTAAGCCTTTGGAGGGGTTACCACTGCTTTCTGTTGATGACTCAATAAAACAAGGGCAAGTTTTGTGGGAAAAGAAAAATGGTGCATCATCTTTTTAAAGTTAAAGAAGATACCCATTGATGCTTATGGTTTGAGCACATGAGACAGGCTACTAGTCACAGGTATGGTGTGATGGTACAATGTGGTATTTTTGACAGGAACTGTTTTCTGGAATGTTCACTTACGATAGGCTATACCCAAAGGCAGGATGTGACCTGGCCAAATCCGCATGAGTTCTCTCCACAGCAGTTCCCTATTCACTAGGGAGGGAGGCTGAGAACTGGCCATGGGGAAGTGGAGCTTCCACTTGATGTCTGTTGTCATAAATGTGACTGGCTTTTTGGGGGAGTACCAATTAGTTGGAAGAGTCCCAACTGAAAATTTTCAGAAGAATCCCCTCAAGCCCATAACTGTCTCCTCTAAAAGTGGGTTCCCAAGCTCAGGGAGCTTGAGGGACACTGTGCTACTCGACATGAGAATTTATTAGGGATTTGATATTTCTGTTAGGGTTAATCAGGTAGCTCTAACCCCTAGGAAATCTATGTTCCCTCTCCTATTAGTAGAGGGGGCTAAACTCACCTGTAGCTTAGAGTTGACCTTCCCCTCTCTCCCTTCTGCCAGTTTACATACAGCCCAGATTACTACCAGGAGGTACCTGTGTCTCAAGTAGCCCTCTCCCGTTAAGCCAGGCGGCTGCATCTAAACTCTTCAATGAAAGGCCTGGCTCCACAGCCTCCTTCCTGAAGGGTGTGGAAGGGTGTGAAGGGGCGGGGCCCCGTGCTGTGGGGGCAGGCTGTGGGGTACTGAATTAGAACAGGTTCAGACAGTGGGAACTCTGAAGAGATGGGCATTTTAAGACTTCACCAGCCTTCATAAATTGTGTTTTTCCCCACATGAGTATTTTGCTTTTAAGCCATCACTTAACAACTCAATTGGGAAATTTAGGGGTAGAAGTGAGAAGGAACAGATAGGGGGTGGGGGAGATTAGTTTATGGAAACTGGTAAGAAAAGTCTGTATAGGAATACAGCTGACAACTCGATGCCTTGCATGTAGGATAGCTGGGGAAAGGGAGGACTGGAGCACATTAAGACAAAACGTCCAGGTTGCTAACTGCCTATGCCAGCTGCAAACCCGTTCTGCTCTTAGATACGGCTCTTTGAAAACATGGACTAATTCTCTCACCAATGAGCATTATTAGATGGGACACTTTACCATTAAGAAGGTGCCTGTCTTAGCTGCACTTCTTGGGTTGATGAAATGCCAAGACTCCTAAATCAGACTTGGTGGCTTTGAACAAATGTAAAGAGGTCAGTTAGCTGCCTCATTTTATTTCCCTGCGTGATATCTGGCACTGAATATATTGTCCATATTCAGCCACCCATTAAATGTAGTCAGTAAGTAACCACAAATTACCCACCCTTTTATGCTCTCATAACCCAGAATGTTGGAAACTATTTTCCCTTGACCCTCTGCAGCCTCTCATGCCCCAGAGCTCGAGCCAGGATCCGGTCTCTAAATAGTCACGCTTTTCTGCTGGACATACCCAACGCAAGGGCCAAAACTTTATTCATCCTTCAGTGTAAATCATTCTTTTCCTGAAAGAAGTCCCCTCGAACGCAGCAGTAGGATCTTTGGAAGAGGGGCTGAGGGGCTGAGAGGTTTCCGCCAGCCCGCAGGTTTCGTTTGACCTTGATTATGACCGGAGGCTCACCTCTCAGTGGAAAATAGCATTCGCTTCCACTACCACCCCAGAGAAGCCAAGTTCGGCTGCCGGGCGATGGCGATGAGATGGTCCTTCCAGACTCATCTATTGCCACCCAGAAAGCTGCTCGGAGGCCGCCTACAGGTGCAATCCCGGCACTGCGGCCAGGGCAGAGGGGTTGGAAAAGTGAGAATCCAAGCCCACCAGCATCTCTGCCTGCCCTTCCCAAAGCCCGAGCAGGGCCCCAGCGCGTCCGCCGCCCTCTTCCCCGGTTTCCCCTCGCCTCTGCCCTGGAGCGGTTTGGGAAGGAAGCTATGAGCCCTCCCAGGCTACGCAGACTTGGATTTGGGAGGGGGTGGGGCGCGGCCGAGGCTTCCCCCTCGAATCTGCGGCAAGGCTGGCTCCGGGAAAGTTTTTCAAAGTTCCCAGCAGCGCCTGCCCGGGTCGCCTCCGCCGGCCGAGGAGGCGGCGGCGGCGCCGCCGCCTCTGCAGCTACACTGCCGCCAGCAGCGCGCTTTGGGCGGCTCGCTCGCGGGAAGCGGGCCGGGCTCCCGGCGGGCAGGCCCCCCTCCAGGGGTGAAAGCCGCAGCTGACGCAGGCGGCTCAGAAGGCGGAAGCTGCCCCGCTCCGACCGCTCAGGCAGCGCGGCGGCGCCTACACCTGGGACCCCCGACGAGCCGGCAGAGGCGCCCGACCTGATGCACCCAAGAGGGGCGGTCGGTGCCCAGGGCCCCTAGGCGTCCCTCTGTAACGGACACTCCTAAATTCCTCCCCCCGTTTCTGTCCGACCCAAAGCTCCCGAGGGCGGGGGTCTGCGTTGGGCCTCCTGACGTCGACGGCGTCCTGCGTATCCCGGAGCCCCCAGCCCCTTCCAAGTTCCTCCCAGGACTCCCCCTACCCATCAACCCGGAGGGGAAGGGGCGTGTCTCGGGCGGACACGCCCCTCATGAATATTAATAGGCGCGCATGCGCCTGCCCGGCGCGCTGGGTAAAGGTGGCCAGCCGGGACCGCGGCTCCCAGACGGGCTCTGCGAGTCCCTCTCCGAGAGCCGGGTGGGCACGCGTCATTGTGTTACCTGCGGCCGGCCCGCGAGCTGGGCTTCGGGTTTTTTTTTTCCTCCCCTTTCTCCCTTCTTTCTGTGCAGCTGATCTGAAAGGGAATAAAAGACCGCGCATAATCATAATAATAAAAGAAGGGGAGCGCGAGAGAAGGAAAGAAAGCCGGGAGGTGGAAAAGGAGGGGGAGTGCCTCAAAGAAGCGATCAGAATAATAAAAGGAGGCCGGGCTCTTTGCCTTCTGGAACGGGCCGCTCTTGAAAGGGCTTTTGAAAAGTGGTGTTGTTTTCCAGTCGTGCATGCTCCAATCGGCGGAGTATATTAGAGCCGGGACGCGGCGGCTGCAGGGGCAGCGGCGACGGCAGCACCGGCGGCAGCACCGGCAGAAACACCAGCGCGAACAGCGGCGGCGGCGTCCCGAGTGCCCGCGGCGCGCGGCGCAGCGATGCGGTCCCCACGGACGCGCAGCCGGCCCGGGCGCCCCCTGAGCCTCCTGCTCGCCCTGCTCTGCGCCCTGCGAGCCAAGGTAGGAGCCCGCCCTCTCCTTTCCCTTGCGATGCCCAGAACGCTGCGGTTGAGCGCCGCGAGCGGGGTCAGGAGTCCTCGGTCGCCCGGCTCCCCGCGCCCCAGAGTCTGCACCTGGGCTGGGAGAGCCCCCGTCCTCTTAAATGTACCCTCTAGGCCAGGCAGGGGACGCGTTCGCTCCTCTCTTGCAACTCCGGGGCAGTCGTCGGATTTCTCCCGCACTCGTGCCTTTTTTTTTTTTTTTTTTTTTTGGCCCCGGAATCACGTAGAGTGTTTGCGTTCAGTTTTGCAAAATTATTTTCACTTGACACCGAGGTCTCGTCGGGGCGGGAGGGAGGGAGTCGCTGCTTTACCCTCGAAGAAAACAACTTTTCTCCGTGCTGACCTCCCTTCCTCGCCGGCAGGTGTGCGGGGCCTCCGGCCAGTTCGAGTTGGAGATCCTCTCCATGCAGAACGTGAACGGGGAGCTGCAGAACGGGAACTGCTGTGGCGGCGCCCGGAACCCGGGGGACCGCAAGTGCACCCGTGACGAGTGTGACACGTACTTCAAAGTGTGCCTCAAGGAGTACCAGTACCGCGTCACGGCGGGGGGACCCTGCAGCTTCGGCTCGGGGTCCACTCCTGTCATCGGTGGCAACACCTTCAACCTCAAGACCAGTCGCGGCAGTGAACGCAACCGTATCGTTCTGCCTTTCAGTTTCGCCTGGCCGGTGAGTGACCGACGCAGGCGGGGAGGCCGCGCCGAGGTTCGCACCAGCGCCTGCCGAGTCCTATCTCTTGACAGAGGGCTATAAGGGCCTTGGCTTAACGCAGCGCTAACAATTTTTTTTAGGGTGGAGTGTTAGGGAGCAATATTCGGCAGGCCCCATCCCCGCTGGGGTTTTTTTTTGTTTTGTTTTTTGTTTTTTGCCCAGAGCCCAAAAATGGGGACATCATAGATTTGGGGGCAAAGCTCCCAGGAAAGTGGATTTAACTGCCAACTTGAAGGCCCCAGAGTAAACTCCCCCCACCCCCAGGGGGTCATTGTAGATGATTTTTGCTTAACCAATTAAACGCTGTGGACGGCGATTCGGCTCAATTTTGGCCTTCGAACGCCGTCCAAATTGGCACCCTCCCCTTTCCCGTGAACGGCCGGGAGGGCGGGTGTGTCCTTCCTGGAGGGTGTGGAGGGAACCCGTTTCCCGCTGCTCCCCAGGAGACTTTGGTGCGTGCGGGGGCGCGCTTCGGGTTGGGCGAAAGAGCCGGGGGGCAGCCACTGGAGGTGGGGGGTGGGAGTCTCCGGGCCGTCGCCCGAGCTGCCTCCGCCCCCTGCCGGCCCCTTCCTGCCCTCGCCCCTGCTCGATGTAACCTGTGGCCTCACTTCCAGTGTTTCCCGGGCTCTGGAACAGCTGTGTTTGCAAACTTCCCCGGGAAGGGCGGGGGTATGCCCTTGTCCGGCGGGCACATGGTCCCTGAAAGCTCTCAGGGGGTGTGCCAGGACCTGGAAGTGGCGGCTTGCTAGACACAGCCCCCTGGGTGCAAGTACATAGACCCCTGTTTGAGAGCTGCCCGAGGCCCAGACCCCCGCTGGCAGACCCCAGAGCGAGGCCCTTGCAACATCCCGAAATGGGTGGAAGGAAGATTAGTGAGATTGCAGAAGGGGAGGAAAGGGGAAAATGTTGGTGCCCTCTGCCCCGTTTCTCCTGTCGTGGAGGCGTGACTCATTGCCAGGACCTCGGCTTGGCCCAGCCAGTGGTGGGAGGGTGGGTGGAGAGAGGGGGAGCTCTGTGCCTCGGGGAATACTCTCCACCACGTGCTTTGATGGGGTGCACTCTGCTGCCTCCTATCCGCGGCCTGGTGCTGTGATTCCGAACTCTTGGGAGGAGAGGGTAGAATGTCTACTGTAGTGTGTGTGAAACTTGGGGTGGCTCCCACGTTTACAGGAGCTGGCATTATAAAGTGCCCTCTGCTGTGGAGAAGATAAGACAGTTATCAGAAACGTGCCCTTAAAAGGGGTTTATAAAAACCTGTGAAATGTGGAGTTTTCTGAGAAGGGACGGCTGCTTCTGTTGTGGGATTTCATTTTTATAAAGCAAGTTTATCTTGTTTGTTAATCCCCTATTAGGGAGAACTTTAAGCTAAAGAGGTTAGCCACATTTTTAATCTGGCTGGGCCCAAGTTTACTGTGAATACTGACTGCCCTTGAACATGTGTTTGGAGTTTCAGGAAGGGGCCTGCAGGTGGTTCCACCCTCCAAGAATCAGTCCCCAGCCCCTCGCTTTTCACAAGACCATAAAAGGAATCTTATTAGTGATGTGGAAAAGCTGCAGGCCTGGCTGAGGCTCATTTTAGAGAGAAGGGTCAGCGGATGGATGAAAATAGGGAGCCTTGGTCCCCAGGCTGGCTGGGGAAAGTGACCTAGAAAGGTGTGTCTGTCTCCTTTTGACACTTGGCAGAGAGTCCTGGGTGGGGAAGGAGCAGAAGCGGCATGTGAGGGCAGAGAGATGATTGATTTGCTGGTGCTCTTCTGTGGTTTCAGGCCCATGGGTCACCAACCATGAAACAGACTTTCTAGAATGACGGGGATCGGGGTTGGGGAGGGGGGGTTGCTGCTGGGACTATGCTTCGAGTGTGGTTCTTCTGAAGTTAGGCCAAATATACGTATCACTCGTAAACAAGTCTCCACCCTGCTGCCCAAAAAAACCCTGCTGCGAAATGTAAGCTTTACTTCCCAAGAGAAATCGGAGTTCAGGTGTATTGTTTTAGTTTATTTTTCCGTGTGCGGTTGGAGAGAAACATCATAGTCTGTAACTTTCAAGAATGATTCCAGGCTGAATGTTAACTGAAGTGAAAGCACTCAGGTAGCCAAATAAGGATGGAAGTAAATAAGCTTCATTCAGTTTGCCAATTAAATGTTAATAAGGATGTCTAACTGATGTCCTTGAATAGCTTATGACTGAACTTAGCACAGAATTCAAGATTTAAAGGATATATGGCTTAAAAACAAGTCAAACCTTGAACTTCCAGCCACCTGAGTTCCCAATTCCCTGTTATCATGGATCTTCCCAAATTTGCTGACAGTGGAAGAGCTGTGGTTTGGGGGCAGGGTCACAGGTCGTTTTAGAAGGTCATGTAATTCATGTCTTCTGTTTGGGATTGTGACCCAATTAAACAACTGCTCATGTCAGGAGAGAAAGAGGAGGAAGTGTTTCGGTCAGATAGGAAATATAATCCACGTCCCAGTGTCCATGTGGGAAGAAGCCCTGTAGAGGTAGGACTGCTTACCTGACAGTATCCGATTATGTCCCACTTGGTGTCCACTGCCTCAGCCCCAGTCTTGTTGTTTTCACTGGTGGTTTATAATCCTCATACCAATGCTGCTCCAAGGGTCTTGACTCAAAGCAACTAGACTGATTTACGATCCTCCAGTCAGGGACCCGGTGAAAACATACATGGTGAGAGGTAATTGGGATTAATGAGAAATAATTTGGGAATAACCATTTAAGAAATCACTGAAATGGGTAAGTTGCCCCGCTCAAACTTATTTCTAAATCTCAGTAGTACCTGTTTATTAAAAATATAGTGCCAGTGTAATTAGTAGTACCCAGTCCCAAAAGCTTTTTAGGAACCCCAAACCCCCATAGGTTGTAATGATGCACTGCTGGCTCTTGGGTGAGATGAATCTAGAGATACTTTAGGGGAAGCAATTGAGGTGTCTGGTCTCTCAGCCTATTTTAAGTGGCATTGACATTGAAAAAAGACTTGCTGAGATCAACTTAATTTTTAAGGAAAATCCAGTGAAGTGTGTTTCTTATATACTAGAGAGGTGTCAGCTTTGCCTCCCTTCACTCTGAAGGCCTGAATGAGCCACTGCCAGGGGTTTGGGTAAATGGGATGCCACCGGCTAATCGGGATATAATTGACAGTTCTCGCCTTTATGCCTTCTGTGTTTCCAGTTCCTAAGCCTTCCCAGATGTAATGTGGACATGTGGAGGGAAAAGAGAAGGGGTCCCACTTGAGCCGGCTGATTTCTGCAGCCAGTATGTGCAGTCCATGTGGTCAGCATGTATATAAACAACCAGTACACATGTGTGAGTGTGCTCAGAACAAGGTACTTTCTCCACATGGAGAAAACACCCTTTGCCCTAAGACACCTACCTCAGGAAAGAGGTGAAATGATGTGTCTGCATTGCAAAACTGGGCTTGGGAATGCAGAGCTGTGCTCACTTTGCACCCGGTGTCTGCAGCATGGCTGCTCCCCACATGGAATCCTTATTATGTTCAAGGTACTGGGCTTCTAACAGCTTTTCTTGTCCAGGTGTAACCTTCTCTGTGTTTTCTTCCTCCTTGTCTTGTTTCTTAGCAACTTATACAAACCTCCGGTACTGAGGAGTTTGCAACCCACCAACTCCCCACCCATAATTCTACAGGGACTTCAGACATTTTTAGAGAACTGTGAAGCTTTTGGCAAAAGGACTGTTGGGGGAGTTGGATGGGTAAGGAGGAGACGCAGCAACCATGTAGAGGTGTGTAGCCTCCTAGAAAACCCACTACCGGAATACTGCCTAAACTTAGTTACGACGTAAGAATGAATAATCTTTGGATGTGCATACAATTAGCATGGTAATCCATAAAGGCAAATATTTCTGAGACTTCCCTCTTGGTGAACTTCAGGAACATGTTCCTGTCCCCTCCCCACGCACCCCCGCAGTAACCCCAAGGTTAGGTTCTGAGATACTAAGAAAGGTGACACTTGGCTCCAGCTTTTAAATACATTTTAAAAATTAGAACAAAACCTAAACTGTTTTTCAACTTCAGGAAGATGTATTAGGATGCAAGAAAAGCGATGATTCTTGCGTTTTCTAGAATGCTAGCAGAGCTGAGGTAGGGTTCTGGGTTCAGAAGTGTCCCGCCTTTATTTTGGCTCTTGGGGCAGAGTGGGCTGCCTGTAACTTCCTTGCTAGTTTCTGCTCACTCATGGACTGCCCTGTGGCCCTTGTTTTTGTGTGTCAGTGACATTTGTCACTGGTACAATGCATGTGCAGGGACGAGATTCCACAACATGGCTCCCAGTAGTTAAAAATGATATGTAAATAGTCAAGCATTCAGAACCTTCTACCAGATCAGCCCAGTTTTTATGCACTTTTGGTAAATAAGTAGAAAGGCTTCTTGTTCAGGCTTGCTCGGTGTGAACCAGTGGTTGTGCTTGGCTGGCTTCTCGGTATTCTATCTATTAACCTCGCCACCCTTTTGTAACTGGTGCATTTAATTATCAGTGGGATGCTTTTCAAACAGGTAAGGGTAATGATGGGAAAAGGGTGGGGGCACCTCATTGAGTCTCAAATCTGAATATGAGCTCAGGGGCCCGCTTGGTGGGTCTTTGAGGTGGGCTTTCATGAGAGAATCACCCTTTGTAACCAGATCGGACTCTATTGAAATGTCAAGCCCTGCAGAGTAAATGGCTTTCTATGACTAAACCCTTCTTAGATTGGATGCTGTGGGGTAGTCGTCCTTTCTCCATGCCTCCTCACCTAGCCAAAATCCTCTGGTACGTGAACTGTTTGTGCAAGTGTGTGTGTGCCCACACATGGAATCTCTGATGCCTTTATTTAATGTTTGTGACCAGAGTATTTTATACTCTGGCCACCCAGACACAGACAGGACAATAGTTTGGCCGAACGGGCTGAAATAAGGATTACAGAGAATAATGTGGCCTCTCCAGAAAATAATGCTAATACAGGGCCAGCAACAGGAAGTGACAGTTGAGTCAGCAGAGTACATGGCCCTAGACAAACTCAGGGCGAGTGCCTCTGTACAATGTTCCCATGGGCACATGGGGCATTCCCAGGGTGTGAGTTCCTCGGGCCCGCCTGCTGCAGTGGCCCGGGGTTTTGGACGCTACACGCGTGCCGTTTGGATGGCGGTTTGTTTGTGTCCGTCAGCTTGGCAGGAGTGGAGGCAGCCGCTTCTCAGGGCTTGGTTTGGCTGCCACTGTTGCCAGGAAAAGGAAGCTCCCAGCTGCCAACACAATTACCTTTGTTTCTTACATCCCCCTTCTTAATGTGGCAATTAAGTGCTTACCACTCTGCCCAGTGCCAAGGTAACCACTGTGGAGTGGGATGGGCACAGCACACAGCCCTCCCGCAGCCTCAGTGCTAAGGACAGGAAGGAGGTTCTTGGAGGGGATGTGGTGGCACTGGTGTCTTTGGGCTTGGCTGTCAGGCACCTCCTAGGTAAAATTCCACGCAAATACCCCCAGAGGTCATTCCAAAAGCTGACCTTTCCTCCTTCCTGCTGCATGAGAATGAGAACCTGAGAACCACTGTGTTGCTTGATTTCCTTGGGAGCTGGGAAGGGGCAGAAATGATTCACTCTGCAAACCCAGACTGAAGGTCTGTTAGCAACCCATTCCCTCTGAGGCTTTGCCTGCAGGCTATTTTCCTGGGCAAATTTAAGCAGGGGGAAGATGAAAGCCAGGTGACTCTTCATAAGTCTTAGATTTATAGTATGAAACCAAGAAAAATCCAGATATTTGCTGTTTTTGTTGTGTGTATATGTGTGTGTGTGTGTGGGGGGGGGTTGTTATGAACTCAATTAAGTTTGAACACTCACTGGTCTTCTTGCCCAGGACTCCTTTCCCAGCCCTTGGGAGGGCCTGGTGCTTTTGCTTGGGGTGAGATTTGCAGTGGCTAATTGGGTGCAATGCGATCCTGGTGGATTGTTGATTTCGGCCCTGCTACCCTGCTTTGATGACATAAGGTGTGCGTGGTCTAGATCTGAGTGTCGATATTCTGGGATGTGCAGAGGTCAAGCGTGGGCCTGGGAAAAATTAAACCTCCCTAGCAACTAATAATCATTGTCAAATTATCTTGATTGTCGATCTATAGTGTGGGGATGGAGTGGGTGGTAAGAGTGCCTTCTAATAGGGGCCTTGAAGGGAATCCTTTTCTCTGATGGCTGGCAGGAGAAATCCTCCTGGCCCAGGAGGTGAATCTTAGCTCCATAATCCCTTCTCTGAAACAAGGGAAGAAGGTCCAAGGCACTTTAGTTTATTTTTTGGCAAGGCTTTGTTGCCAACACGGTCGTCTCCATCCCTCGCCTCGTATCCACCTCTGAGGAGGCAGTTTATGGAAAATAATGGCACACAGCATCTAGAGCTCTGCAACTCTCTTCCCTCCCAGTGGGACAGTGTTGGTTAGCAGCTTCTGAAGTCTTTCCAGTTCTGGCCGGGATGAGCCTGGTAGACAGCTTGGTCTTCCAAGTTCTTGTGCAAGACTGAAGAATGCCTTCCTTGAGCACAAAGCAGAGTTAACACAGTCGCACCAGCTCAGTCCCAAGACGCCTTCCCTTTCCATGGAGTTTGGGGGTATTATGTGTTTAGCACTCTGCAAGTCTGTCATACTCTAGGTATCAGTGCATCTAATCAGAGGATTAATTACAACAATATGTGGAAGTGAAGAACGTGGATATCAATGTGACCAGCAAAATGAAGGGCTTAATTATACAGAATCAGTCCCACATCTGGCCTCATTTTGACTTGGCTTGCCTCAAATCAGTAGAGAAATATAATTTCTTGCTGTGCTCAGGGAAGTAATTGGTAGGAAGTCCTAGGAAACTGAGAGGCTGTAGGTAAGGTGTAACTTTCACTTACAAAATATTAACGACGACAACAATGAGTTTGGACCTATGGCCACTAACAGGAGAGGGCTGGGCATGTGCCCTGGCTTGCCCAGTTTTGCTTGCTTTTCTGAGTATTTTCCCACAGTTATCAGTGAACGAAATGGAATCCTACTCTGCTTTGAGTATGAAACATATTTCGGCTGAATTCCAAGGCAGAGTCTATCACAAGATATTTTTATATTCAGCGATTGCCTGCTGTGTCCCTGTGTGAGCAGTAAGCGTGCTTTGAGTTATGAATGAATCTCCTTTTCCCCCGCCTCTGTTCTTGCTCTTACCTTGTAGGTGCCTTTTCTTGGTGAGTGTGTTTCCGCTGACATGGCATTATTTGGTCAATATACGCCACTGTTGCTGATGCATTGGCACCTGACAGTGCAGGGGCACATAAAAGGATACGTGTGCCTTTTCTCCCTCCCCCCTGCAGATATATTTCTCCAGTGCCAAGATAGCAGAAAGTTTATTTAAATCGTGGTGTTTTGTGAGACTGACCTCATTCTAAATTACAGAGATTTGAGTAAGAGCAGGAGAATTTGCTAATGACTTGGATTTGGGGGGTGGGGTGAGGTGGAATTCTGGATAAGCCTGGAAGATAAAAGGTGCCTTCAGTATAATAGCTGGCACCTTGCCAGTGTCCGGGGACTTTGTTTAGTTAGTGAACTCTGATTATTCCTGGAATGTTAGATCATATTGACAGATACGTTCATCAATAAATATGCCCTTAGATGTGTGGTCGTTTCCCCCTTCCTTCCCCAGAGCCTGCCGCCTCAGGCACCCCAAGTTAGGTTGCTGCCTTTGTCTTGGGAGTCTCTGCACCTACCCCCTCTTGCTTCCTAGAGTCACCTGATACTTGTGGGAGCCGAGATGGTCTCACACAGACAGGGCTTTCAAAGGGGTTCTGAAAAGGAAAAGGGGGCCTCCCTGGGGACCGCCCCACCAGGGCCCAAAGTGTAACCTTAGCAATACCCGGCCCTCCTGGATGGGCCCCCTCCCCTGGTACAAAGACCTGGTTCGGTTAGCTTAGAATAAATTCTTTGTGTTTTTCTCATGCACCAGAATAAGGGTCTGGGAAGTTTTAGAAAACTATATGCTAAGTGTTCACCTACAGGGAGGTGGCATTTCCTGATGAGGACTTTGAGCAGCTTGCATGATGACCACAGTGGGCCCCATGCCAAATGAAAGGAGTGAATCTGCGATGGGTTCTGCAGTGGGGAGGGGAGTTGGGTGACCTCAGTTCGACAGCAAATAGAATCTTCATTTGGCACTATGGTTTTGTTTGGTGGAGTGTGCAGGGAGGCCAAGAAAGTAGGACATGAAGAGCTGACCTCTGTTTCTGATTACTGTGTCATTTATCTGTTTGCAGAGGTCCTACACTTTACTTGTGGAGGCGTGGGATTCCAGTAACGACACTGTCCGTAAGTATCACAGCAAAGGACTTGTCTCCAAGTGCATGCATCTGGGAGTGCAGAGCTTGGCATACAGGACCTGTCCGAGCCGGACCTGTCTTCTGGGTGCCTCGGGGAACTTTTACCACCCCCTCCCCCAGTATTCGTGCCCCGCTCCCCAGGGCAGACCTCTCAGTGGAGTCTTTTCCATAACTTCCCCTAGACTTGCTTAAAATATTAAGTGGCCAGGACAGATTCCTGGTTAATTCAGTCCCTGAATATGGGACCTAGATTATCTTTGGAATAGAGATCTTAATGCTTTTACAACTTTAAAACCTTGTAGACTGCTAAAGGATCAAAGTAGTGACTTTTTAGAAGTCCATTTAAACTTTAAGTGAGCATTTAATCTCTCATCTGAAAGATAAAGCTGGCAAAGGTGGCGCTGGGCTCTAAAGACCGACCTTGAATTTCACTTGGTGGGCAGGTGAGCTTCCAGCCGGTCAGGGTTTTCCCACACCGTGTGTGACAAACCTTTCATTGAAGCGGAATTCCAGAGCCTCCCAGCCATTACACTTGCCTTGTCCCTTTCTGAAAGATGATTCTGTTTTTAGCGCAGGTTGCTTTACGGAGTAGCTAAGGTTGGGTTTTGGTGGGGAAGCTGTGGAGGGTGTCTATGGAAATGGCAACAGTCTGGCTTGTAAGGTAGTCTTGCCCCTTTATGGTAACTTACAAAATGTTCTTCCTCACTCGTCTAAACTGTGAGTTCCCTTTTTGTCAGCAGGATCTGGGTGGTTGTCATTGGAAAACTTGATTCACGCTGAAATGTGAGTCTGCTCAGGAGGAAGGGTTGGTCCAACTTTTTGTCTTTGCCCTCCATTCTCTGAGGGTCCATCCCTTTTGTTGCCCTGCCTCCCGGCCCTTTTTTTTTTTTTTTTTTTTTTGGGGGGGTGTTACTGCTAATGACATTTCCCCCTTTTCTTGCCTTGCCTTTGATTTTTTACTTGCCTAGTAAGGGGTTGGTGTATGCTGCGGGGGCTGCTTCCAGGCTGTGTGGCCCAATGGGTCGCCCGAAGCCATTGAGTCACTGTGGAGCCCTAGTGTGCCAGAGACTCCTGGCCGTTTGGATCCCTCCCAGTTTTGGCATCTAAAGGCCAGCTCTGTGGACTTCCTCCCTGAGGGGCACCCCTGTCCCACCGAGGTGTGGTGGGAGGGAGGGGTGTGGGGCCAGCCTTGGTTGTGGCTGATGCCAGTCAGGGTCATAAACACCTGTTTGCTCTCTCCCTCTCACCACAGACGTTGGGATTGTGTGAGTGTTATGTCACTGTGACCTGCTTACAATGGTAACCAAGCACTGAGGCGAAGGGGGGTGGGGGGAGGGAGAAATAGGTTCTTCGGAAACTCTTGAGATTCCACCAGATTGAGATGTTAATATCCTTGATGTGGATCCTAGCTCATTGTAAGGACTGGATCAGGACACCTGTTAGGGCCTGCAAGGGACTCCTGGGCCTTCCATGGCCCCACAGGTGAGGCCCCTGTTTCCTGGGAAGCTGGAGCATATATATAGAACTGCCCACTGTTGTGCGCATTTTGAGGTAGACTCCTTTGGAGCTCTGAGGTGTATCTCATCTGCTGTTGGGTGTAGAACCTCCTCTCTGGAAGGGAATGAGGAGGACGTGGCATAGCAATAGGGCTTTATGACTCCTGAAGAGAGGGGGTGCCTCAGAGTTGTAGAAGGACTGCAGGTCATTGAAGCTCACTTGTGAACCCCAACGAGAAGGTGAGGGTTTGCTAGGAGTGCCTTGTCTACCTGTTTGTTCAGCCTCTTTTGACATTTCCAAGTTACTGAATTCATATTCAAAACCAAATTTGATGTCTTCTCTCTTCAAAAGCAGATCCTGCCTAGGGCCCTTTATGGATGACTGGTATCAGCATTTGAACACCAGTATTGTAAGCTGAAAATCTGGAGAGCATCCTCTCTCTCTCCATCCATATTTCATCCACCTCCAAGTTCTGGAAATCTCTCCAAAGCCGCACTAGACTCCTCCCGCCATCTTCTGCCACTGCACTGGTCCAAGTCACCATCTGCTCACACCTGAACTCTAACAGTAGTGGCTAAATTAGTCCACCCGGACCTGCACTGGTCTTCCTCCAGTGCTTTCTCCATTCTACTGCCATCTTGGTCTTTTCGGAGCATAATGTTTGTCACCTTTACTCTAAGAGCTTTCTGTTGCTCTTGGGCCAGGTCTCCAGCCCACAAGGCCTTGCAGAGCCCTTGTCTCCCTGTCAGCTCCTTCTTAACATGACACATTGTCATCCATTGTATTCAGAGTCTGGTCACCCCACTAGTCCTTTTCTGTCCTCAAGTGCATCACATTCTCCTGTGTGGTACCTTTGCGTATGCTCTTTGCTCTGCCTGGAATGTTTTACTTTTCGTTCTCTCCACCCTCTGTCCATCCCAAGCAACTGTCCTTCATGAGGTCAGACATTGATATGTAGCAACCTAAACAGAGTCGGCTGCTCTTTGGGGCCCAAAGAAGGTGCAGACATTCTGGGTTCAGGTTAGAAGGAGAACCCGGAATTTTGGAATAAGAGAATCCTTTCTCACATCAGCTCTGCAAGCGAACCCTCATGAGTAGAGCCTGACCCCGGCAAAGCGCAGATGCTGTTCATGTGTTGGAAAGTATTGCTGGTCCTCCGGACATCAGCCCTCCAAAGTTATTTCTGTTACATTTCAGGACTGCTGTATGTAAGGGTACAAATTTATCTCTCTGTCCCAGAGCAAGTGGCTTCAGTTTATTGTACTGTTCCATAGATATATAAATGTGAACAGGCATTCTCAAGACCAGGCTTTCCTGCCCTGTCTAGGTCTGTGGGTTGGCGAGGTCCTGGGGTTATGCTCAGACTCGCCTTTTATTACCTCCTCCTCGGCTTGTCGTAGGTGCTTCATGCTCCACCTTAATGCAGTTGAAGATTGCAGGAAGGCTTGGTAATAGCCTTTTTCAGTCATGAAGCTAGACTATCCAGTGAACTACCCTACCCCAGATCCATGTATAATGCCCCAAGCTGATCGGAAGTGCGATTCAGGCAGTTTAGAAGGAGGCGGCAGCAATCTTGCTTTCTGTAACCCAGATGCCAGAAAGCGTGTCACATACTCCCTGCCACTCAGCTGTTAGGAAACGTGTCACACAGGTGTGATATGAGTTATACAGATATGTTAGACACATCGAAGAGTCTGAAATAATCGCTTCACAGCATTTCTTCCCGGAAATTAGTAGAAAGCATACTAACCTATTGAAAATGACTAAGCTGTTGAAAATGGTATGTCAACCTGTGCCTTGAGGATTGGCTTGGGCTCTTGTCAGAATTGTTTGTTGTTAATACCTGCCTGAGAGAAGCTGGAGCCTTTGAGCCATGGCAAGTGTGTTTAAATAATTCATTTATTAGTAGCTCATAATCACATGGTAATAGCTCACTACACTTTTTAATTGAACCAGCAGAGCAAACACAGTTAATGGAGGGACATTTTTGTCATTCTTTGGCCGGTGTTTATTTGCGAAACTTACGTTAGTAAAGTGTTTTCGGCAAGAGGTTCTCTGCGTGCTGCCCTGTAAGTCTGCCGGTATGTGGGCTTGTTCACGGCTTGTCTTGCCCACATGACCGTTAAAGAAACCCAGAGGGTGAACACTGGGGTGATGTTGGAAGTGGAGTGTGGATGAAGCCACTCAGGCATTCCTCCTCCTCTGGTCACCTGTAGGGTTTGCATAGGCTTGTAAGTGAGCACAGGCCCTGGGCCTAGAAAAACAGGTGTGGGTGGGTAGGAATCACAAAGACATTGCAAGTAGGTTCTAACACGGTCTCTCCAAGGTGGCCTTCAATTTGACAAGGCAGCGAAGGGTTGGGGCTGGCAGGTTTAAGAAAACAAACACAAGACCAGGCTGGGGTGCTGACTTAGTGCCTTGCTTCCTTTTCACATCCCTCCTCTGGCCTCCTGGCACCTGGTGTTGGGTGCTGCTTTAGTACCTGTCTCTCTCCTACTAGACTCTAAGTGGCCTCAGGGCAGCAAACCACTGTGATTCCTCCTGAGAGCTGCCTGGGCTCTGGACTGTGTTTCCTCAATAGGCACTCTTTAAGGAGCATGACTTTCTCAAAAAACACCTCAATCTATCTCTAAACTGGGGCGAGTTCCTTTTTTTAATCTTCTTTCTGCACAAAAAGTAAAAGGTGAAAGGTGAAATACATTAAGTTCTTAGTCTTGCTATTTGAATGTCAGCTTAAAAAGTGGTAAAGTCTTGCTTGGTGTGGCTCAGTGGATTGAGCGCCAACCTGCGAATCAAAAGGTTGCTGGTTTGATTCCAACCAGGGCACATGCCTGGGTTACTGGCCAGGTCCCTAGTTGGGGGTGTGCGAGAGGCAACCAGTTGATATTTCTCTCACACATTGGTGTTTCTCTCCCTCTTTCTCCCTCTCTCTGCTTTTCTCTGAAAATAAATAAAATCTTTAAAAAATAAAAAAGCAATATTAAAAAAAGTTGGTAAAGTTTATAATTTTTAGAAAACATAACTTTACTCCTTGGCTTCCAGTGAAGAGTTTGGAAGTAGATTCTTTCTAAAGCAAGACACAAAGCTCTTAAAATCTCTCAGAAGAGAAATTGTAACCTTGGCCTGGAATAATGAAATTTCTATAAGCAGTATTCCGTAAAGGGCTGCTTCCCATACTGTGTAAAGAGCTTTTGCAAATCAGTGTGTCCAACAATGCAGCAGAAAACTTGATAAAGAGAAACAGGTGACAGTTAACAGGAACAGATAAATGGTTTTGTAAACATGTGAAAGGGTGTTCACCATCACTTAGTTAAATGCTAATTATAAGAGATAGTTCATTACCTATCAGGTAAAGATCAGAAAGTTTGATAACATAGTGTTGGGAAACAGTTTCCTGTACTGGTGGGAGGACAAATTAACAGGACTTCCTTCTTGGCAATTTGGGGATGTCTGGGATTGTGCATGGCCTCTTCAGTCCAGCACTTCCATTTCTAGGTTAGTTCTTCCTGATTGAACCACACAGATGGGCAAACATTCAAGAATGTTCATGTGGCTTTGCTGAATAGCCAAAGGCCAAAACAACCTCATTGCACATATGTCAGGACTGGGTAAATTACCTCACTGTAGTTCCAGATAGTGAAATACTATACACCCATTAAAAAGGTGAATGGTACCAGTGGTTGCCACTGGGGATGGGGATTTTCATTTTCTGCCCTTTTTTGTTCTGCTTGAATTTTGTACTCTGTGCATCAATGATTAAAAATAGCGGAAAATGGTCAGAGGAAAAAGGCTCTGATGTGAATGTTAATGCAATTAATATTTTTTTTTTCTTTGCCTCTAGAACCTGACAGCATTATTGAAAAAGCTTCTCACTCGGGTATGATAAACCCCAGCCGACAGTGGCAGACCCTAAAGCAGAACACAGGGGTGGCCCACTTTGAGTATCAGATCCGTGTGACCTGTGATGACTATTACTATGGCTTCGGCTGCAACAAGTTCTGTCGACCCAGAGATGATTTCTTTGGACATTATGCCTGTGACCAGAATGGCAACAAAACTTGCATGGAAGGCTGGACGGGCCCCGAATGTAACAAAGGTGCGTGGGTGTGTGCCGGGTGGGTTAACCAGCTGCCATGGCTGTCACTTTCGGTGTCCAGTTCTCACCCCCCGCGCCACGGTCAGGTGGCTATCTTAGGTGGGGTGATATTTTGGCTTTTTTCTGGGCCCGAGCCCCCAGCTGCTCTTAGGGTTGGCTGCAAACAGCGAACAGCTGTTCCCTCTCTAGAGCACTGTTTGTGGCCAACCAGGAGCAACTCCGTGTCCTGTCCCTCCAGCTCAGTCTGAGTCACTGACGTGGGGTTGCAAAGGCCAGGCCCCTTTGCTTTAAATCTGTTACAATTCATGCTCTAGAGTCTCCCCTGGGACCAGGCTGAAGCCAGACTCCAGCTGAGACCATGTCCTTGCTCAGCTCCTACCACTGCCCCATCTGCTGCCCTCTCCCCCTTCCTCCTGTACTAGAGTCCTCTTCTCAAGCTCTGCTTCAAAGGACTGATCTAAACAGATACCAGGTGGGACTGGGTTAACCCAGTCAGCATCTGAACAGATGACCCTGTAGGAATTGACAGCCAGCTGAACCCAGGGTGGCCTCAGGGCAAACTTTCACTGGGCATCTTGTGGGGCTGCGGCATTGGGGCGGGGTGCAGGGCTGGTGGTGCACCAGGCTTTCTTGCTTGTGTAGAATGGAACGCATCCACAGTAGCACAGGCATACCTTGGAGATGTTGGGGTTCAGTTCCAGACCACCACAGTAAATCAAGTGTTGCAATAATTCCAGTTTTAATCTCTTTGCTGAGGAAGGATCTTGCCATCAACTTGTAAAAAAAAACAACACCCCACATCTGTGAAGTACAGTAAAGAGAAGTGCATAAAATGAGGTATGCCTGTATAAGCTCTAGGTGTGCCGCCTACTGCCTAGCCCCTTCTACTAGAATTCAGTGAATTATCACATTCGCAGACATCCACACAAGAATCTGTGGTCTTTATATCTTTACAAAACTTTAAGGCATAGCAAATTGATGGGTAATTCTTGTTAATTATAATAGGCCTTCACGGATGTTAATGTACTCGACTTATTTCACACAATTTGATAAATTGTTTTAAGATAAACTCATTAGAAAGGAATCTTAGAACTGCGGTTAAGGGACAGGGCAGAGTAATTTGCAGGTCTCCTTGGCAGAACTGTTTTTTTAAGTAATGAGATAAGAGTTCTTAAAGGATGGCATTTCTGGGATCCAAATGAAAGATAGAATTGATAAATATATTTTTTAGGTAGTTGATGTTCTAAAAAAATCAGTAACAGTTTTATCGTATTTTTATGTCTGTTCACATTGTTTTTTAAAATAAAGGAAGCAGAATTGCTTTGTGAGGATACTTTGGGGTAGCTGCTGAACTAGCCAAACGAAGGCAGCCTCATTCTCTTTGTTAGTCCCATGGGAGTTTTGGGACGCCAGGCATTTGGGGGAGCTTTGAGGAGGCTGGGGCTCATCTGAACTCTGCCCTGATGGGCCAGAGTGGGTGAGATGAGGAAGGATTACACCTCCTTTTTTTCTTTTGTCAAGGGTGGGAATTAACAAGGGAGCAGGGTAGCTATTGTGTAGAAAGACTGGATGAAGACCCCCTTCCCCCATCAACTTGCCTGCATTTTTGGCCCCAAAAAGTATCATGTTTTGAGGATCTGCTAGCGTGGCCTTGAAGTTTAAAGCTGGGTTTGTTATTTGGGCACCTCCCATCTTCCTCTCCTTACAATGGACTTGATATGAGATCTCTTAAAATCGTGGATTTTGCAGGCTTAACGTCCTAGGCCGTTCTCATGGCGGCAGCAGGCCAGAACGAGCAGTGTACTGATGCACCCTTCTGTGTTTTTTACAGCTATTTGCCGACAGGGCTGTAGTCCCAAGCATGGGTCTTGCAAATTCCCAGGTGACTGCAGGTAAACGACTATACTGTTTTTGCTGTTGCTGTTGTTGTTGTTGTTTTTAATAAGCATTTTTTAATGCAAGAAGGGGGACTGACTTTATTGTGAATGCATTTCTTTGGAGGACAAGAAAGCTTAAAATTCAATTAGGCACATCCGAAGCTTATTAAATTATACCAGCTGTCCAGTGGAATGCGCACACTTCTCTCATAGAAAAAAAGGAAACTCTTATGGGCATAGTCAGTGACTTCATGTACTGACTCTTCTGTAAATTGATAACACGTTTTTTGTAATCTTCCCCTTAATGTGCTAATGGACTAGATGGAGGGATGTGGGTATGTTTCTTTGCGTCTGTGTCCGCCCCTGTCCTGGTTTTCTGTCTCCCAACCCTCCCCCACTTTTCCCATCAATAGGGGAACGTGGAGCATTCTTTAGAATGGGATTAGTACAATCTCCTGGCCCCTTTGCAGGCGGGAGACAGGCCGGTGCTGAGAGGTTAATGGCTGCGCTGGAATCTTGTCAGTTGAGCCTGATGAATGTAGACTTTGCTGCTGGCCTTTGAAGTCTGTTCTTTTATGGTCCCAGACAATGCAGAAGCCAAACCGAGACCTACCCGACTGCTTCATGATTACAGTTTTTGGAACTTTTTGAAATATACATTATACCAATTTGGGAAAGACTTGCTTTGGGAAATATTGTTGCTGCTGTGGCATTTTTGACACAGTCTCACAATTTACTCTGCCTTCTCCCGTATGATCAGCATTAGCAGATTTAATGTGACATTAACTGGGTCCTTTGGGCCTGTAACTTTTGCCCCCAGAGCTACCCTGGTTTGAGCCAAGGGAAGCTTATAACATATTGTAACCAGTGCATCTGAAACCAGTGTTACACGGGGCTCTTGTCACAGTACAGATCCGGGGTCCACAGGTCTGGGGCGGGCCCAAGTCTCTGCATTTCCGACAAGCTCCTTGAGCGGTGCTACTGTTGCTGGTGGTACCATGCCTTGGGAATCACTGTTCCCCAAACTTCAGTAGTCCTAAATGAAATTCCCCAGATTAACCAGGGAACTGTCAAAGTGCAGATTCTTGGGCACTACCTCCCCATAGCCACGAATCTCAAATCTCTGGGTTTGGCCCAGGAATATGCATTTTGAGAGGCCAGCCACATGATATTACTGCTCAGTAGATTTTGAGGACTGCTGCTTGACAATTGCATGTGGCCTTTGCGAGCCCACCACTGCATCTGTTCCCCACCGCTCAGCGGGGAGCGCTGGGCTCTGAGGCTGGAAGCTGAAATGGGAACACAGGCAACTGGAAGTAAAACAAAAACAGGCTAACCTGAAAATTCTCTTCCTACACTTCAGAAAGATAAGATTATTTTCTGGAAGGCGGAGGGGGCATGCATATTAACCCCCAGTAGTGGTGGCTGCATGTAGCATTTAACAGCATTGCTGTCGAATGTTGAGCTGGTGTCCACCTCCTTTAACTCTTCGTAATTAGGGGTGTGTGCCCTGGAGAAAGTCAGATCAGCCGTGCTATTAGCAACTCTGTTCCTGCTCTGCGTTCAGATGGGTATCAGGGAGGCCAGCCACGATTCCTGCTACTGTCATCAGAATAAACACTGCTGCGCAGGGGAGGGCCCTCCCAGCCAGAACAACAGGCTTTGTTTCCAGAATTTAGCCTTTTCTCTTTCGAAGTCTCACCTCCCACTCCCTGCCCAGACACGCACCAGTGCCCTTATTTACTTAAGGTGCAACTTTCCCACACGTCATTTGCATAGTCTCTCAACCCATCTCCGTGCCTTGAAAGAAAATCAAAACAGAACCTTCTAGCTGAGGAAGTTCAGGTTGTGTCCTGCACCAGAAATAGTTGAATGGCAAGTTACCTGTAAGTTGTCTTCTGGATTATGTATTACAGGGGTGTTTGTTTTTTGTTTTTTTGTTTTTTTTTTTTTTTTTTTTTTTTCCCTTCCACATGAGAAAACTTGACTGGTTCTGTGGTTCCTAAGTAGACTTAGAGTCCTTTTACTGGGCCTATATGCTTGCTTTATTGCAAGCCTGCCAATAATATCAAACTTAATTATGAATCATCATATGAGGAAAGTCACTTCAATTTCTCACGAGAACCTTAATCATATACTATTAAACTGGGATGACTTCGTGATACCTCTTTTAGGGTCAGTATTTTTATTTGTTTTCTTTTGAAGTCATCCGTGGCCTCTTGTGGTTCCTTTTTTTATGCTTGGGGATCCAGCTCTCATTAATTAGGAGGTGAGTTTGGGTCCTCAGCTGCCTCCTCTTGTTTTTATTAGACAAATGGAAGAGGTGTAGCAATCTTTAATTTGGAAGGGAATAAGAGAAGATGATAATATTGCTATTTCCAAATCAGTTCCTTCTTAATACATTTCAGGTAAAAATACCAATGTTTAATTGAATGGGTTCCCCCGCCTCCCACTGACTTGAGTATTCAGTTTTTAAAATTTTCTACCAGATTATTTCATTTCACTTCTTTATATAGTCACTTGTTAGTAGAACCGATGTTTCGTTCTACATAAGCCAGGATCCTTTGTCAGATTAACGTTAAACCACACAGTCTGGTAGTTCTTTGTATTGGGGTGTGTACTGCTTGTTGGTAAAGTTAGGAAGCAGTTAGTCAGTCTTCTCAGGGGTTAAGTTGATTCTCGGGCGTGGGTGATTAGCTATTAGCTGGATCCCTATAATTTTCCCATGACAAGGATTTGCTAGTCTGCCTCCAGCTCTCTGGAAACCAAAAGCCTTTCCTTCTGGGGGGTGCTTGTTTTCCAGTCACAGCTGAGCAGCTTGGGTGGGGGGGAGTTGGTTCTGACCATGGCTTTTCCTCAGTCCCATTATGGAAATATTTGCCTCTCCCTGTTCCTCACTCACCCCACCTTCATTCCACCATCAGGCCTTCGCCCAGCCCCCCTCCTGTTTGAAAGCTTGATTTTTGAGAAGGCAGTTAAAATTTCAGAGAGCTTGAAACTTGAGGGGTGAGTGGTTGAGACCCTGCCCTCTCTCCCACCCCAGGTGAAGGTTTATGTTTGTGTTTTTGTTTGGGGATCAAAGGCACCATTTGGCCTCGAAAGAGTCCGATTAATGAGGCGCTTATAAAGGTAACTCAATTCCCTTCCCCAATACTAGATAAACTGAGTTGACCTTTTTTTTTTTTTTTTTTTTTTGGGGGGGGCAAAGTGAGAAATAACTATAAAATAAATTAGCATAAGCAGCCAGGTAGTGGGGTATAAATTATCTGTACAATTGGGTCTGAGAGCTCTTGATTCCCCTACCCACCCTGCAGAAGTGAGTTCAGGGATCCTACCCTCGTCTTTGCCAAAAGACATGCCCCTTTCCCTCCTTGTTTGATTTCATAAAGCCTCATCGTGAGGCCATTTCCTGCTGCACTTGGTGTCTTGTTGCATTTTTGTGCGTGACTCGCTGTTTGGACAAAGGGCTCGACCAAGCTGCTGTGTAAAACTTGCCCAGAGTGCCGCGTTGCGGAGACTTTCACATGGCTATTGTTGTCACCCGAGAGTCCTTCCTTTCCCTCTACGGTCTGCCCTGGGATTGATTTATTCCACCCTCGGCTCATTCCTGTGAGCCTGAGAAGAGTGGCTTTGTGAAGGGCAGTCCCACGCTGGCCTCTCTCCCCAAACAGCCCTCCCTTTGTCTTGAGTCCCCTAGGAGGGGACCTTGGCCCAACTACGAAAATGTTTGTTTAGAGGGAGCCCCAGACAAACCTTGAGAGTCTACTATCCTGTCACCAGCAACAAAACAAAACAGAAAAACCCTGTACTTTGCAGCCTCATCTTTTAATGGTACAGATTTCCCTGAATGTTTCACGGACTAAAGGAGGGTGTGCTGTCTGTCCCCCAGGTGCCAGTATGGCTGGCAGGGCCCGTACTGTGACAAGTGTATCCCGCACCCGGGGTGTGTCCACGGCACCTGTAACGAGCCCTGGCAGTGCCTCTGTGAGACCAACTGGGGCGGGCAGCTCTGCGACAAAGGTACGCCTCTCGGGGATGGGAACCAACAGGGTGAGGTGTGGGGGAAGGAGCATGAGGCCTTGCGGATGGGACAGCGGTAATTTAGTTTTATGATTCTTTATTTGTAGGGGCTTTTTATCATGACTCATGAATCTGTTTGAGTCTGCCTTTAATGCTCTGGTTTGGGTTTTCTTCTCCATTTTTTTTAAATGAGGGTATAATTGACATACAATAGTAGTTTCAGGTGTACAACAGAGTGATGCATTTGTATGTATACATTGTAAAATGGTTATCACAATAAGTTCAGTTACCACCTGTCACCTTCCAAAGTTAATACCATGTTATCAACGATTCTTCATACTACACGTTACATCCCCATGACTTATTCATAACTTCAGGGTTTTAAAAGAGGAATGGGACTCGAGTGGGGTTAGCAGTCTTTTACGTCTTTGAGCGACTGACGTCTTTGGGGTCTCCTTGGCAGATCTCAATTACTGTGGGACTCACCAGCCGTGTCTCAATCGGGGAACTTGTAGCAACACGGGTCCTGACAAATACCAGTGTTCCTGCCCTGAGGGCTATTCAGGACTCAACTGTGAGATTGGTAAGTGGTCGAGGCAGAATGAAATCCCTTTAATTTTTTTGTACACTCGGCTTTAAAAATACACTGAAAGGGCTCATAAAAAAATGAACATATCCTGTAAAGTTAAGACTTGTTATCTAAGCAGTTATTTGGGTCTTTGAAACCCCTTTAAGTCACTCACATGTTTTGGGTGATGCTGAGGAGCGTGGGAGGCGTTCTGCTTGTGATGCCGTGACCCCGGCTCTGAGATGCCTTGGAATGTGGCTGGAGACAGCTTAGCGAGAGAGATGACTTCCTTCCTTTCTAGACACAGCAGGGTTATATCACATGCTTGCTTTTATTTTTCGAAACAACCTTTGAGCTGGCGGCCCAGGTGGGTGACGTGGGTGTGGAGAGAGGTGTAGGTAGCACAAAGCGGCACCCCTTGCTGACTGCCATCCTGGTTTTTGCAGCGGAGCACGCCTGCCTCTCTGATCCCTGCCACAACAGAGGCAGCTGCCGGGAGACCTCACTGGGGTTTGAGTGTGAGTGTTCTCCGGGCTGGACCGGCCCCACGTGCTCCACAAGTAAGTCCGGGTTTTGGCTTGTGTCCTTTCTTGAGGGTCATTGTGTAGAGGTACAGGATTGGTGGGGCAGATACGTGGGCTCATGGCCCAGTGTGAGGTCTCAGCGAGGGTCTGTCCTGGTGGGAGGGATGCAATCTGTAGTCTGGTCGGGCTTGAGCTTCCGGCCTTTGCACTTGAAGGTGCCCCCCTCCTCCCTGCTAAGTGAGCACATGTGTCTGCCACTGGGAGAAACTTGCTCATGGCATAGCTTCTAATTTTGCATGTACTCCCTGGAGTTCTGCTTCCTTCACATTGAATCATGGAGAGTCTCCCTGCAGGGGAGGTTGTCACTATTGAATTTTGTCATGTGGGCAAGTGGTCTGAAAGAAGGACGCCATGCCTGCCAGATTTGGCTGCACATCAGAACCACTGGGTGCTTGACAGCGCAGTTCTCTGTGTTCCACAGCTTCCCTTTGGAATCGGGGAGTCCATATTCTTTAAAAGGTTCATGGATTTCTGAGGTGCAGCCAGGCCTGAGAAACACTGTCATCAGCACCCCAAGAGCAGCATGCAGCATGGTTCTGGATGTGGGTTCTGGGGTCTGGTGGCCTAGGCTGGCTCCGTGGCCTGCACATAACCACTGTGGAACTCTGGCCACATAACCTCCCCATGTCCTGTTTAAACGGCTTGTGAAGACTCTTGAGTGAATTCACAGGGAGAGCCTGGCACCTCATAAGTGGGCAGTAGATGAATGGTAAAGAGGTCTACTATAGTCCTGTGCAGAAGTGGGGCGTGCCCTTCTCCAGGTGTGCTATTTTGGGACAGCTCTGAACAGGTACAAACAATAAGGTTTTCCAACAGTAAAGAAGAGTTATGTTTCCTTAATTCTTCTTAGTTACCTCTGAGCCATGATGAAACTTTTCTTTAAAAATAACCAAAGGGTTGATGCTCTGGGGATCCAGCTGGCTCTCTCCCTGTCTGCTTAGGTTGGGGATTAAATGATCTGGGGCAGTGGGGGATTTAAAGCTAAAATCAGGCCTGACTGTCATCGGAGCAGTCACTTAGAGCAGGTGTCTGGCTCTTCAGTGAAGGCCCCTCATGTGGTATTAAATTATCTTAATTGTCAAACGGATTGAGATTAAATTGCCAACCCTCTTCCATTTTTGTCAAACAGACATTGATGACTGTTCTCCAAATAACTGTTCCCATGGGGGCACCTGCCTGGACTTGGTTAATGGATTTAAGTGCATGTGCCCACCCCAGTGGACTGGCAAAACATGCCAGTTAGGTAAGAGAGCTCCTGCACCAAGGTTGGCTTTGATAATCAGAGCTGTTAAGGAAGGTGAGCATGTGGTCAGCGGTGTGAGTTTGCACACAATGTGCTAAGAAGTAATTTATTATCTAGAGCCCAGCCAGCCAGCCTGGGAGAAATCACTTGAATGCAAATGGATGAGCTCTTTTCGGCGCTGTGGGAAAGCTGTGGGGCTCCTTGAACCATGTCAGTCGTCTGTCCGAGGAGTGTTCAGCTGGGTTCCAAGCGGGGATGATCGCATGAGGAATGAGCTGTCTGCTGCATTCTTTTTGCCACATTTAAATCCCAGCAACTAGGTTGTGCCAGGTTTGCACAGAAATGCCTGGTGGCTTTCTGCGCTTCTGTTGGGACCCGTTGTTCACCAGCAGCCAGAAAGTTATCAATTAGCATTCCTTATTGGATAGTGATTAGGAAGAAGGATCAGATGTTCGAAATAAAGGGATCTGTTATTTAGCTATCTTATTAAAATGTCTCTTATTTCACAGAAACTATTGGGACAGTGTTCCTGGGAGGGAGGGGGGCTGGGGGAGGGTAGAACTCCAGTCCTCCCTGCTCATCCTCATTTTCTTTCAGATGCAAATGAATGTGAGGCCAAACCTTGCGTCAATGCCAAATCCTGTAAGAATCTAATTGCAAGCTACTACTGTGACTGCCTCCCAGGCTGGACGGGTCAGAACTGTGAAATAAGTGAGTGACTTTGCTTTGATTTTGATTTTCATGAAACTTGGGTGTTGAAGACATTTGCCAATCCATAGAAGGCTACAGTGATGAAAAGGAAAACCTTAAGGAGGGAATGTTTTAGAAGAGGGAGTGATTAGTGCTGAAATGAAAACATAGCTTTTATCAGGCTCATTAGCTGGTAAAAGGGCCATGTTGTGATAAGATGGCTAAAACAATGATGTGAAGTTTCACTAACTCCGTCTGGAAGAATTAGGGAGGGGAGGGTTCCCACCCAGCGCAATAACCTTATCTCACCGGAAGCACACAGCAAATCTGATTTGAAGAGTTTATCTGTTTGAGCTGAGAAGGCTTTTCAATTAAGCCCAATTTCAATGTAAATTACCTCTTTAATATGATGACTTTTTTTTTTTTTTTTAAAGATATTAATGACTGCCTTGGCCAGTGTCAGAATGACGCCGCCTGTCGGGTATGTAAATCTTTGCTTAAATCAAAACCTTAATGAGTGACAACCAGTTTAAGATTGATGTGACCCTGGGAGAGCTCTGTCCCTGTGAGATTTAAAAATGCAGGTGAAAAGTGAGTCTCTGGAAGTTTCACTTGGGCTCATGTTACCCCCAGCCTCCTGGGAGTCATCTTGAAGGCATGCACTAGGAATTCCTCTCCCACATTTTGAGAGGCTTGGCATTTGGCTATTTTAGTGAATCAGCTGAACCGCAACAGTCATGCTAAACCGCTGAAGTCCTGTGTTTGTGGATACATAGAAAAAAAAGCGTGTGTTTCTCCCCCCTCCTTCTCCTCTTCCAGGATTTGGTTAATGGTTATCGCTGTATCTGTCCACCTGGCTATGCAGGCGATCACTGTGAGAGAGACATCGATGAATGTGCCAGCAACCCCTGTTTGAATGGGGGTCACTGTCAGAATGAAATCAACAGATTCCAGTGTCTGTGTCCCACTGGTTTCTCTGGAAACCTGTGTCAGGTGAGCAGTGCTGGAACCTCTGGCCAAGTTTTCACAGGGGAGTCTAATCCTGCTCCACCCTTTCTCCTTCCCTCCCTCATCTCACCTTCTCTCCACCCCCATCTCCTCCTCTCTCCCTTCCCCCACGCTACTCTTGACTCTACATCTGGAGTCTCTGTGAACTCTATTACCTCCCCATTAGCCAGAGATCTCTGCTAGACAATTGCTGGTGGAAAGAGGAAGTGATTTTCTTGGTAGTATCTGTGGCCTGTCCATTTCATCCCCGCCCCTCCCCCGTGCCCCAATCAGCGCTTTCTCACTCTGTCCTGTTTTTCCAGTGCCTACTGGGCAGTCTTTAGGACACAGCCGTGTATTATGCAGGATGTTCTGAAATAGATGAAGTGGCCAGATTCCAGTGCCTGCTGCCCCAGAGATGTTATAATCACACCTTTGTTTTACTGTTTCCTCTCCCACTGCCCTGCCTCCTGGTCCTTGCAGCTGGACATAGATTATTGTGAGCCCAATCCCTGCCAGAATGGTGCCCAGTGCTTCAACCGTGCCAGTGACTATTTCTGCAAGTGTACTGAGGACTATGAAGGCAAGAACTGCTCCCACCTTAAAGACCACTGCCGCACCACCCCCTGTGAAGGTACCTTCCTCCCCCAGGCTCTTGGCTTGTCTCCAAAGCTCACTTCACTTTTCCTCCTTGTCACTGCTCCTTGGTACTTTGAGGAGAGTGTAGGTGAGGGGATCAAACCCCCTAACCTGACTGCTTGGAAGTCAGAACACATGGAAGCAATTGAGCTGGGCCCTCCAGTGGGAGAACCGTGTCTATAGGTATAGCCCAGGGGAGGGAATGAAATTCATTCGGCAGTCCTAGTCTGGGATGGGCTGATTTGCAATGCTGAGACCCATTCCTCATAGCAGCACTGACAGGAAACCTTTCCGTGGCGGCGGAAGTGTTCTGTATCTGTGCTGTCAGGTATGGTAGCCACAGGCCACATGTGGCCAATGGAGCATGTAAGTGTGACTAGTGCAACTTGAAACTCTTACTTTACTTAATTTCAAATGATTTAAATTTTAATAGCCACATGTGGCTCATGGCTGCTGTCTTAGGTGGCACAGTCTTGCAGTTTCTAGAAGTTTGTCCTTTAGCCTTGCTTAAGCATGATTAAGTGGGAAGTAAAGCTGGTTCTTCCTTTAGCAAGCTTCTTCCAAAGAGAGATCAAAGGCAGGAGGACAGGGGCCCACAGACATTTAGGCTTCTTAGCCAGATAGGGAGAAAATGCCTTTAACAAACTCATAAATTTTAAAAATTTCAACCTGCCTGGCATCTCAGTACTGTCACAGTGTGACATGGCACGTTGCCAGAGTCTTGGCCCCGCGGTGCCTCATGATTTCTTACCCTCATTAGCCGATGGTGCCTGTCTCTAGGAAAGCAGGCTCAGCGTATGTCCTTGGCTTAGGAACACCGTGTCTTATGGGTCAGTGGCCGTAATCTGATCCTGAGTCTGTCTTCTAGTGATTGACAGCTGCACAGTGGCTATGGCTTCCAACGACACGCCTGAAGGGGTGCGGTATATCTCCTCGAACGTCTGTGGTCCCCATGGGAAGTGCAAGAGTCAGTCGGGAGGCAAATTCACATGTGACTGTAACAAAGGCTTCACTGGAACGTACTGCCATGAAAGTAAGACCCTCTCTCTGCCTCTGCCCAGCTCAGGGAGCATGCGAGTCTGGATTGTTTCAGTCGAGACGAGTGAAGGTTTGCCATTACATCGAGGATCTAAGACTGAGTTGTGTTTAACTTACGTGATCACCGATGCCTCTGAGCCTTCAGCACATTTATTTTAGAATGTTCTGGAATCTTAGTAGTTTGGGTGGTCCTGCTCTCTGTGGAAATTTCTTCCCCACACCCAGTGAGCAGCCTAGCCTGTGAGGGCATTACTAAAATGCATGTGGCATTTTCAGGAGAGCCCTGCTTGGTGAGCTGCCTGTTGAATTTGAGGAACAGTCCTGATGGAATTGAGAATTTTGAGGTGCCAAATGTGCTTTCTCCGGTGGCAGCTTACAGAACAGGGCTGGGCTTTACTGGTACTTTATTTACTTGATTTTTTTTTCTTTTTTCTTTTTTCCCCCCCTCAGATATTAATGACTGTGAGAGCAACCCCTGTAAAAATGGTGGCACTTGCATCGATGGTGTCAACTCCTACAAATGCATCTGCAGCGATGGCTGGGAGGGGGCCTACTGTGAAACCAGTGAGTGGTCTTCTTGAGACAGACAGCCCTAAGGTTGTGGAGGGTGGGGGATCAATATGTGCAGCCTTTCTTTTTCATGGAAATTTCTGAAACTAAGGCCCCAGCTGTTCCCACAGTGGGACAGCGTGTCCTGGGTCTATTTGTACTTGTTAATGGGGAGACAGCCAGTGGGAAGGAACTTCTGCTGAGGAGCTACAGAATCCGATTGTGTACTTAGGATGACAAACATCCCTGCTTGCAATTGATTATACTTTTTGCCCATGTTGATTTCAACTTCCTGAGTGTGACAGGCCTGCCCCTGACTTCGCTAACTTGTGGAATTAAAAGTAACCTGGTTGGGGCTCCTTTACTCCTGGAAAGGGTGATGGCGTTAAAGTCCTGGAATTCTCAGCTGGTTTTGGAGCTTGGGGCAGAAAGCAGGGGCGGAGGTGACCATGGGCAGTGCGTGGCTCTCCTGGCTTGTGAAGGGTCCTGGATGCTTGTTCAGCTGGGTGTCTCTTCTTTGGTTGTAGACATTAACGATTGCAGCCAGAACCCCTGCCACAATGGGGGCTCGTGTCGTGACCTAGTCAACGACTTCTACTGTGACTGTAAAAATGGGTGGAAAGGAAAGACCTGCCATTCACGTAAGTGGTAGCTGGCTGGGAATCCTGTCTCTGGGACCCCTCTGTCTCTGTTTTCTGGATGGGGGCCTGCCGGGGGCTCACGCTGAGGTCTTCCTCCTCCAGGTGACAGCCAGTGTGACGAGGCCACATGCAACAACGGGGGCACCTGCTATGATGAAGGGGATGCTTTCAAGTGCATGTGTCCTGCAGGCTGGGAAGGAACAACCTGCAACATAGGTAACTTCTTGCCCCACTTGAGCCCCTGTGAGGGCTTTCCTGGGTCTGGCTTTTACCCCTTCAGACTATTTTTGGATCCTCAGGGAAGGTGGTCTCGTCTGCTCTTGTCTTTATAGCTCGAAATAGTAGCTGCCTGCCAAACCCCTGCCATAACGGGGGCACCTGTGTCGTCAACGGCGAGTCCTTCACATGTGTCTGCAAAGAAGGCTGGGAGGGGCCCATCTGCACTCAGAGTGAGTGTCGTCCACCCTGTGGGGGCTGTGGGAGCACATCCTGACACCCTCGGGGACTCAAAGTGGAAACCAGAAGCAGTATAGCTGTTTGATGTCTGCTTCTGCATCACCTGGGTCTGTTCTAATGACTTGATGGGATGCAGCCCTGACCTGGGCATGAGAAAGTCGCCAAAGAGATAAGTGGAGACAGATGGCGTCTTGTTCCCAGCTCTGCTCTGACCAGCAGCCTGTCTCTTTCCATTCTCACACCCCCTTCCCAGCCCTGCCAGGGTCTCTTCCTGTGTACATGTGTCCCTCGGTGAGCGGAACAAAGTGTGGTGCAGGCCTGGTTCCAATTGAGCAGGGGTCTTAAGTGCATTTTGCTGGTGTTAACTACAATGTTATCGTTTGGGTATTATGGAAATTGGTGGTGTTTTTACTCAGGGCTAAGACTGCTTTGCTATTAAGTTGTCTTTTTACTTTGCAGATACCAATGACTGCAGCCCTCATCCCTGGTAAGCGTGACCACCTTTTAAGCCGGCACTTGTTGGCTGTAACGTGCATGGGTCTCACCTGGGATCTCATTTAAAATGAAGGTTCTGATTTAGTCGGTCGTCGGGTGGGCTGCAGACCCTGCCTTTCCAGCAAACTCCCGGGGCTGCCAACCCTGCTGGTCTGTGGACCACACTTTAATTAGCCAGGTTGTCTTGATTTAGACCAGTGACCCTCAACCTTGACTGCCCACAAGAATCACCTGGAAGCGTTATTTTTTTTATTTTATTTTTTTTAATATGCTCCAATGCCTAGGCTGCACCTGGGATCTGTCAGATGAGACTCTGGGGGGTGGGACCCATCTATTTTTAAAGCTCCCTGGGCATTGGTGAGTGTGGCTACAGGCAAGAGCTGCTGGTGGTGACTGGCTCCCTGTGATCAACTGGCAGCCGATGTCTTGGATGGAGAGATTGGTAACCTAGGTGGTCTTTGCTCTCTTCTTAGTTACAACAGTGGCACGTGCGTGGATGGAGACAACTGGTACCGGTGCGAGTGCGCCCCTGGTTTTGCGGGGCCTGACTGCAGAATAAGTAAGGACTGCTCCTAGCTGGGTTTGCAGTGGCTTTATTTTCCCCGCACCAACCCTCAGCCTGAGACTTTTCATCTTTAAAACAATTAAGGCCATGATTCCCCTTTTTTTTTTTTTTTTTTTTTTTTTTTTTTTTTTTTTTGCCAGTTAGGACTCTGTAATCCCTGCCCCCTCCACCAGCTGGCTGGATCCTCAGGTACCTGTTGGCCCTTCTGTGGGTGGCACAGCCCTCCTTGTCCTAGGGAAGAGAGCACCAGCCACAGAACTTGACGATTAAGCTAGTCTGAGCCCCGAAGGAAAGAGTGTGCTTTTCCCCATGACTAACGTGAAATTATGGGCAAGTGGACGTTAACCACAACTACGCTGGTGGAGCACAGAGCTAACACCAATGGAAGGGCCTAGGGCTGTGGTTTCCCAAGGCATGATGAGGCGCTGGTGGAAGGACTAAAACAAAAAATGGGGGCAAGCAATGCAGTTTTTCAGGAACCTTAAAGTTTATTCTTTATTTTGATCCTTTTCTCCTAGTTTTTTATATGCCTTATCTTTTACAAAAGTGACAGAATAAAATAGTTGTTTGTTTTCTTTTCCCCAAGTTATTTGAAATTATCCTGGTGTTTGAGATCCCCTAGTCTGGACTCCAGCACTAGATGGGGGTGCACTGTTTCTATTTCATGTTTCTAAATCAGGTTGACATATGGTCTAGGAGCCATATCTGGCCCGCTGCCTATTTTTATAAATAAAGTTTTATTGGCATAGAGCCATACTCATTCATTTACACTGTCTGGGGCTGCTTTTAAGCTATGATAAGAGTTGGGTAGTTGGGACAGGGACCACATGGCCTACAAAGCCTAAAATATTTGCTGTCTGACTCTTTTAAAGAAATTTGCCAGCCCTTCTGATAAATTGTACTCAGAAAAAGGAATGTATTTTGGTTCCTTAAAGGCAATTTTAAATTAAATGATTCTCAGCTGGTAAAAGTCAAGCTTGTGGTGATTGAGGGGACCAGTGACTGGTAGAGCTTTGGGAGCACTGGTACTGTTTCTATAATTGCATGCTGATTACATGAAAATTCATCAACCTTACACTTCTCGTATGCCTTTCTATTTGTATTTAATGCCAGTGAAAACTTAGAAAAACTTTCTGCCTCCCACTGAAACCTAAACTTGAACTCCATTCTCCTAGATATCAACGAATGCCAGTCTTCCCCTTGTGCTTTTGGGGCAACTTGTGTGGATGAGATCAATGGCTATCGGTGTGTCTGCCCCCCAGGGCACAGTGGTGCCAAATGCCAGGAAGGTACGTGGGCCAGGCCCCAGCTTCCCCTGTGTCCTGTGGGGTGAGTAGGTGCTCTGGTCAGAACAGTCACCATTTTGACCATAAATAGACACTGTGCTCAGGGAGAGAACACAGAGGGGACATATAGTGGGGATAACAGGGAAGGGGAAACTTTGGAAGGTCCCCTAAAAACAGGATAGCTGTGGCCTTGCTGTAATTATGCTATGTAACAAACCATCTCAAAACTCTGGCTTACAACAAGCATTTATTTGTATTCGTGGGAATGCAGGGCGGGCAGTGATAGGTGCTGCGGGTTGGGCTAGGATCTATTCTTGGTCCCTCCTCACTCTCCTGGGACATCAGCTGCATCCGGGGCGCGTTCTTTTCCTGACAAATGAGAGCCTTTCAGGAGGCTGTGTGCTCTGTGACTCAACTGTGGGAGACTCTGCTTACAGCACATCCCCTGGTATTGCCTTGGCCAAAGAGGGTCATGTGGCCATGCGAAAAGCCAGCAGGGGAGAAAAGCATATTTGCCTCTCCTGGAAGGAACTTGAAACGTGACAAAGGGCACGGATGTAATCATTTCCTAACAGGGAGGGGGTAAAGAATCAAGAGATCCATCTACTGGATAGGAAAGTCCTTCCACTCACGGCGTCTCCGCCTCTCAGTTTCAGGGAGACCTTGCATCACCATGGGGAGTGTGATACCAGATGGGGCCAGGTGGGATGATGACTGCAACACCTGCCAGTGCCTGAACGGACGGATTGCCTGCTCAAAGGTAGGGTGTGAGGGCTGCCGCAGGTCCCCTAATTCTGGAATAGCTGCTGGGCATTTCTCCTGAGCTGCCCGCTCCCGTCTCTCTCTCTCTCTCTCTCTAGGTCTGGTGTGGTCCTCGATCTTGCCTGCTCCACAAAGGGCACAGCGAGTGCCCCAGCGGGCAGAGCTGCATCCCCATCCTGGACGACCAGTGTTTTGTCCGCCCCTGTACAGGTGTGGGCGAGTGTCACTCTTCCAGCCTCCAGCCAGTGAAGACCAAATGCACTTCTGACCCCTATTACCAGGATAACTGTGCAAACATCACGTTCACCTTCAACAAAGAGATGATGTCTCCGGTATGGAGCTTCTTTTTCAGTTTGGAATGGTGTGTTGTGGCTGCTTGTATTAAGGCAGGATTGTTACAAGCTAGGATTCAGTTCTCTGTAGCCTAAGTTCTGCCTTATAGCAAAACGCAACTTGAACATAACCTAACTTCGAAGGAAACATCGGCCTTTTTTTCCTCCCAGTATCTTAAATGTGTGTGTGGACTTTTCAATATTTTTCTAGGGTCTTACCACAGAGCGCATTTGCAGCGAATTGAGGAATTTGAGTATTTTGAAGAATGTTTCTGCTGAATATTCAATCTACATAGCTTGTGAGCCTTCCTCTTCTGCAAACAATGAAATACATGTGGCCATTGTAAGTATAAGATCTATTGATACTCAATAATTAATTTGATTGCAAGATAACTGGCATTGTTCAATTAGCCAGGAGCAAATACATCAGAAGAGAGGTTGGCCTACATGTGTTGTCAAGTAATAAAAGTTTTATTCAAAAATAAAAATATGCCTGGAACTAATATAATACTGAATGTAAACTGTAATGGAAAACCCTTTAGAAATTTTTAAAAAATAATAAAATAAAATGTTAAATCACATTTTTTTTTAAAAAAAAGCTACTGTTCAGTATTCCCTGATCCTCCAGATTGACCATTCTTTTTTTCTCCAGTCTGCTGAAGATATACGGGATGATGGAAACCCTATCAAGGAAATCACCGACAAAATTATAGACCTTGTTAGTAAACGTGATGGGAACAGCTCACTTATTGCTGCTGTGGCAGAAGTGAGAGTTCAGAGACGTCCTCTGAAGAACAGAACAGGTAAACGTCACGTGGGAACAGTCCCTTTCTGTGATGAGTCCCAAGTGGATCTCATCGCCCTGTCCAGTAAAACCACCAGGCGGGCAGTTACCTAAGATTCACCCTCACGGAGCCCCCATTTCACTGGTGAGAAGCAGGCCAGTTGTTTTGACTGATGTCATATGGCGATGGGCAGAGGTTGACCTGACCTTTCCCCCTGCCAAGAGGCTGTGTGCTCCCAAGCAGGCACCCCAGTAGCGCATGCACTGATCCTAGATCCTTGTGATGCCCTAGTGGAGAGCATCACGGTGCCTTGAGCTCTGGTGTGCAAAGCCTGCCTTGGCATTCTGGTGTCATGTGACAGCTGGGCCTAAGGACCGTCAGACACTGGTTTGATAGGCAGCTCGAAGGCCCTGCAGTATGCCCAGACTCTTTCAGACCATCTTAAGCATCATTGGTCTAGCAAGGTGAGAAATTGGGCTCATGACCGCTTGGGGCTTTGGAGCTGTCTGTGCCCAGATCGGGTTTCTGGTAATTCTGAAAACCAGATCCTGTAATGAGCTTCCTAAGTAGCCAGACTCCCCTTGACTGAACCAGACGTTGCTCTACCCACACGAAGTTGGGGAATCTGTAGGAGTTGCTGCTCTGCTCGGTCTCTCTGGGGATAATAATGTCAGGGTCTCCAAGGGCTCAGGTGCCAGTCCTGCTGATTAAGCTGTGAGTTCACAATAGGCAGTTGTAAAAAGAGACTTATCCCACGGTGCCCCTTTTAGGGACTAAGAGCAGGAGAACCACTATTGGTACCCTTTCGTTCAGAGAGTTACTGGGTTTGGGGTCTGCCTTGCAGATTTCCTGGTCCCTCTGCTGAGCTCTGTGCTCAGCGTGGCGTGGGTCTGTTGCTTGGTGACGGCCTTCTACTGGTGTGTGCGGAAGCGGCGGAAGCCCAGCAGCCACGCGCGCTCGGCCTCGGAGGACAACACCACCAACAACGTCAGGGAGCAGCTGAACCAGATCAAAAACCCCATCGAGAAGCACGGGACCAACACGGTCCCCATCAAGGACTACGAGAACAAAAACTCCAAAATGTCAAAAATAAGGACACATAACTCGGAGGTAGAGGAGGACGACATGGACAAGCACCAGCAGAAAACCCGGTTCACCAAGCAGCCGGTGTACACGCTGGTAGACAGAGAGGAGAAGCCCCCCAACGGCACACCTGCCAAACACCCAAACTGGACAAACAAACAGGACAACAGAGACCTGGAGAGCGCCCAGAGCTTAAACAGGGTGGAGTACATCGTATAGCAGACGGCGGGCGCCACCTCCGCCGCTAGGTAGAGTCCGCGGGCGCATGGGGCCATAGTTCTTTAACTGTCTAGTCTGGTCTGAGGCTGTTGTTGACTTAGAATCCCTGTGTTAATTTAAGTTTTGACAAGCTGGCTTACACTGGCAATGGTAGTTTCTGTGGTTGCCTGGGAAATCGAGGGCTGCATCTCAGAGCTATGCAAAAACCAGTCCAAAGTGCCCGAGTGCACGGTCCCTGCAGCCGACAGGTCTCGGATCAGGCGCCCAGCAGAAGGCCCCGCCCCTAGGCCTTGAGCTTCCATTTCTGCCAGGTTTCTCGATGGTGATGCAGTCTTAGGATCATAGTTTTATTTATATTTATTGACTCGAGTTGTTTTTGTATATTGGTTTTATGATGACGTACAAGTAGTTCTGTATTTGAAAAGTGCCTTTGCAGCTCAGAACCACAGCAACTATCACAAATGAGTTTATTATTTATTTTTTTTATTGTATTTTGTTGTTGGGGGAGGGGGGGACTTTGATGTCGGCAGTTGCTGGTAAAATGAAGAATTTAAAGAGGAAAAATGTGTCAAAAGTAGACTTTTGTATAGTTATGTAAATAATTCTTTTTTTATTAATCACTGTGTATATTTGATTTATTAACTTAATAATCAAGAGCCTTAAAACATCATTCCTTTTTATTTATATGTATGTGTTTAGAACTGAAGGTTTTTGATAGCATTGTAAGCGTATGGCTTTATTTTTTTGAACTTATTTTCTTACTACGTGTTGCCTATAAGCCAAAACTAAGGTGTTTGAAAATGGTTTATTTTTAAGACAATAGATGGGCTTCTGTGCCTGAAATGCTGGTGGAGTATTTTTTTGTTTTTTGGGGTTTTTTTTTTGTACAACATCAAGATGTTTAAAACACCTTCTATAGCATCACTTTAAAACACGTTTTCAGGACCGACTGAGGCAGTTTCAGAATTAGTCTAGAAGAGTTTCCTTTTTTTTTTTTTTCCTGCTTTAGACTTGAAAAGAGAGAGGCAGGTTATCTGCTACACAGCAGTTTAAGGGAACAAGTTGAGCTATGACTTAAATGTAGCCAAAATATGAGTGATTGATTATCATTAAAAATATCAAATTAATTGTGTGAAGTTGGAAGCACACCAATCTTGTTTTGTAAATTCTGATTTTTTTCCACCATTCGTACGTAATGCTGAACCACTTGTAGGTTTGATTTTTGTTATCTACTGCATTTAGGGAGTATTCTAATAAGCTAGTTGAATACTTGAACCATAAAATGCCCAGTAAGATCACTGTTTAGATTTGCCATAGAGTACACTGCCTGCCTTAAGTGAGGAAATCAAGACGCCTATCACAAAGTTTAAGATCCAAAAGGCTTATAAAACCGTAATTTTGTTGGTTCACCATTGAGACCGTGAAGATACTTTGTATTGTCCTATTAGTGTTATGAACATAAAAATGCATCTTTGTGTTGTTCCTGGCAATAAATTTTGAAAAGTAATATTTATTAAATTTTTTGTATAAAAACATGGAACAGTGTGGCCTCTTCTGAGTTTACATAGTTTGGCTCTGCCATCATGTGCTGCTGGTAGTGATAATGAGGGGCACAGACCAACAACTCGGAGCCTTTTCAGCCACAAAATTCATCTGAAGCGGGGCTGCTGGGAAGCTGAGCTGTGAGAGCCCCATCTTGGGGGCCTTGATTCCCTTGTCACTCAAATAGCAAGTGTGAATACTGCTTGAATAAACACCACTGGATCAATGGCCTGCAGTGTGGAGATGAATTGTTTGTGAGCACTCAGGGGAAATGCCTCCCTTTCCCACTACAGTGAAAGGGTTTTAAATAGCTTGGAATTGGTGTTGGGGCTGAAGGAGGAGATTGAATGCCTTCTTTTTTTTTTTTTTTTTTTTCCCCCTGGCTACTTGGACTAATATATTAATGTTCCTTCCATCATTACTGACCTTGCAGATTTTGTGCACTTACGCCTCACTGCACAGGAGGTAGTTACAAGCTTCTGGAGTCAGGGCCCATCTATCTAGTATCACCCTGTACCCAGGAAGTGAGTGTGTGTAGGCCTCACCATGCTGCTTTGGGGTGCCAGGTTTCTGGTCTTCCACGAGGCTCTAGAGTTGAGCAGTTTCCACCTGTTAGGGACAGGAGAGCTGTGGTTCTCACTCGTGGCTGCTGGGCCTGAGGCCAACATGGCCCTATCCCTGCATCCTGGGTGAGGTGGGGAAGCTTTGCCTCTGGCCCCTTCAGCAAGAGATGAGCTGAGGTGACGTACATGGACAGCTCCCAGCAGCTGCCTGGAGCTGCCAGCGGTTCCCTGCTTCTGGTTAATAAGCCAAAGCTCACCCCTCCTGGGGGCGCTGTGCCCCAGAGCTGCACCTTTCAGGCCATCTGCTCACCTCCTGTTTTCAGAGTGTAACTCCCCAACCGGAGCAACAAACTTTGAATGGAGAAGCTGACGGGGATGATGTCTTTCATTCTTGGGAGGCTCTTTTACTAGGCCAGGAGAATTGTGTTCTCTGGTGGGCATCTCGTTTTAAGAGTGGATGGCGGGCTTTAAGTACCACATCCATGCTCCTTGTGCATGAACAGAAGTCCTCAAGGGGGTTAGAGTTCATCCATAGCAGTGCATTTTGGCTTTTTGGGGAGGCAGCCCCAACGGGTTGGATTCCCATGACATCTCCCTAGCATAGCAATACTTGTGTCGCTAATCTCTGCTGATGAACAGCTGGCTCCTGCAAGGTGGGGTCAGGGAGGGAGATGTGCTCTCCTGGTACAGACCAAGGAGATGGAAACAGTCTGGTTTCTCCGCAGTGAAGTCAAACCATCCTGAAGTAATACCTTGCTCTGGTGGTTTGTAAACTTGGATTATGCAGGACCCCGGAATTCCTTGGCTAGTTGCCAGATGCTTTTGTGCCAAGAGGGGAAAAAAAAAAACAAAACGCTTAATGAACCTCTGCAATTCTTCATTCCAGGAGGGATGTGATCTTGAAATTCACAAGTATTGTAAGGAGGCTTGTGTGTCCAACATACCCTCAGTCAAGGTAGAGACCAGGCTCCTCAAAGCCAGGACCTTAGTTCTTAGGATGTTTTCCCCCTTTTCCCAGGTGGAAGGAATCAGGCAAGGGAGCCTTGGATATCTTGGATATCCTGGGTACAGGGAAGGGGAAAGGAAGGGACTCATTTCCTTTCCTACTCTTCATGAACATTCTGGGCCCTTGGTAAGCAGGCCCTGGGAGAAAACTTGGTTAACTAGAATTCCAGCATCAGAGTGTACCATGAAACCCCAGGAAGGCATTAGGTGGAAGGTGATTGTTTTTAGATAGGAAACTCTGTCCTGAGATTCTAGACTTACACAGGGGAGGGGGTATATCTTAATTGGCTAAAAGCCCAGTGAGACTGGTTGATAATCAGAAGCAGAACTTGAAAGTAGCACATTTATTTTAAATGCAGATTCCCAGGTCTGACCCAAGATTCACCAGGAGTGGGGCTGGGCAATCTGTATATTCAAGAGCTTGCCCCTCCTCCCCTCTCCTCCCTGCATTTTGTATGGTTAAATTTGAGAACAACTCTACTAAAATCCTAAAGTACAAGCTCTTCATTAATTATAATGTTTTTCCTCCTTGTTAAACTGAATTAAGTAGCCTGGAAGCCAGTTTGTTGCTAAATTGCCACCTGACATCATTTGTAAGTAAAATAATTACACTGCCCTCCGACAAGCTGTGGTCTAAGTGCTTCGTGTTTATTAGCTGATCTGAGGGGTCAGTGAGTGAAAGTTAACTTGTGTATATTTTTTAGGTAGCAAAAAGCCAAAGGAACCACAGTGGTGGGCTTCCCATCTGTCTAAATGGTGTACACCTGTCTGTCTGAAAGGGAGCAAGTGTGCAGTTAAAAACTGGTTGCCTTTAAAGAAGAAAGTCTCATGGGTGTACGGAGGTTTGCAACTTGGGCTGAGCAATGTTCTAGCATTTCCGCTTTCAACTGCGGGTCTCTTTCTTGCCTCTACTGGGAATGAGAAACATGAGTTCAGAGGTTCCTCGGCTGGGAAGACACAGCACATGGGTTATGGGAAGCCTCCTCCTGTTAATGTGTATTTATACTTTGTAAGCTCTGATTCATCCAAGCACTGGAACAGAAATCTGCTTCCTGAGGTTCTGTTTTTAAATAGATAGTTTTCAAAAACAACAATTATTTTTCTTAACATTTTTTTCCACCCCACAAGCAGCTAAACATCCCAGCTCAGGCTATGTCAGTCTCCAACAATGCCAACAGACAGCTTGGTATTCGGGGCAGGAGGGTGCCCTGAGGCAGTTCTGTGGGGCTCTGGCCCTACAAGTCTTCAAAGTTTAGAAACTATTAGAGCAATCTTGTTGCATCATTCAAGACTGAGGTATTTCTGGGTCCATTAAAAATAATGAATTTACCTTCGTGAACAATTGCCTCCTGACGGCTGTTAAAGTAACAGCCAGCGGGGCGATGCTCCCGGGGCTGCCGGCAGCACAGGGCCTGCTCACCTGCGTGCCCCCTCTGAGAGCGTGTCAAAAGGCACGGCGCCCTTGCTTTGGACATAAATTCTACCTGCGTTGCTTGCTCTTGCATGCCTGGCGTGGAGTGTTTCTTTCAAGTTTCAGGCAGCTTTTACAAGTCTTAAATTATGTGTCATTATCACTGGTCCGGTATTAACCTGTGATATGCCAGTCAGGAAAATTGGAGAGTAAAGGCTCTTAAATCCAATAAGAACCTCGAACTGAGGCCTGCCCACCGCCTCCCTCTCTATCCCCTTCACCCCATCCCCTCCCCCTGCCAACATCCATACCAGGGCATCCAATGTTTGAATTATCCAGGAGCAAAAGCTAACGCCAGCAACATGAAAGCAACAGCTTTGTTTTAAAGGGAAGCTCTCCTGGCAGGCCCGTGGGGCTCCTGCAGGATCCCGAGCGGAACCCAAGTCTGCAGCTGGCTTCCTAATGACTACTCAGGCTGCTACAAGAACAGTGCCCTTGATCTGAGCTGTGCCTCCTCAAGGTTTTGAGTAAAAAGTGACATCTTTATAAATCTGAGAGCAAGAGGTGTTTTCCAAACCAAAGGCACATTATACTCCCCTCCCTTGGTAGGTGGTTCCTTTGTTCTTGGGCAGCTTCAGATTTTCTTTCTGGTTTCTGCTTCATAGAATTATAAAAAACGAAGCACAGGAAGAGGTTCAGAAAGGAAATCGACAGCCCCACTACATCCTACACCTCCCTGTGCATGCACACGCACGCATGCACACACGCACTCACGCACACACGCACTCACGCACACACCAGGCACGCACACTGCGGTTTTCAGGACAACGCACTGCACTCCATGGCCAGCGTTAGGTGATTGCAGTTACCACTGGGCCTCATCCCACATCCCCTAGCCACCGCTGCTTCCCATGATAGGCTGCTCCCCAGTTACCACAGGAAAATCACCCGAGCCCTGAAAAATACTAAAATCCAAGTAGCTTGAATGTGATGAATTTCACCAGGTCCAATGGGCGGCGGCACCAGCACAGAC